TCCGAAAGGTAATGCTTGCAGGTGGGTCCCATTTTTTTGTTTGATTTTTGGAGTCAAAGACTACGACGTAGTTAAATAGTTTAGCTCAAAACCGCGCAACGAAATTTCTGGTCATTTTTGCTTTCTTTGCATACGTAGCCTAAACTATAAGACCTACATAAAAATGATGTATGGAAGAATTGTAGCCCATTAAATTTTTTGAAGTTATAGAGGTTTTTAAGATACTGAGGTTTGAGTTATCAAGGTTTTTCTGTATTACTGTGATAGAGATCAAAAATATTACCTGTTTCAACAACACTGGAGGGGACCTTAATATTACTGACATCACAGTTCTCATCAGAGTGGACCACGCCTCATTATGAAAAACTATTATCACACTCGCTGTCGGCAAATCTTCGATATTATACTGCACATCTTTACAGCTGAAATCAAATATAATATGAAATGTTAATCTAACTGATATCATAAATGCGAAAGTTTAGATGGATGGATGTTTGTTAGACTTTGTAGCCTAAACAGCTGAACGGATCTCAATGAAATTTGGCATAGACGTAGAGCATAGTCTGGAACAACATATAGGCTCTCTTTTGTTTTTTTTTAATTCCACGCGAACGGAGTCGCGGGCAAAAGCTACATTATAAATGAAAAAGTTTAGAAGGACCTTGATGAAATTTGATTGAGATGTAAAGGGAATATAGAGGTAGTCTGGAAGAACACATAAGCTACTTTTTTTTTTGTAACAAGAGGTGGCAAACGAGCAAGCGGCTACCAGAATCCGCCAAAATGGCGAAGCGACCGGTGCCCATAGACATCCGTAATTGCAGATGCGTTGCCTACCCTTATCTGACAGAGGAGGAGATGCACATAAAGAGGATATCTCCCCTTCCTATGCATCTCCTCCTCTGTCAAATCCACTTCCTCTTCCCATCATCTTCTTATGAGAAAAGAATGGTAAAGAGAAAGGGACTTATATTAGGCCTCCGGCATCACACTCATCAGACGAAACACGGAATTGCTTCCATTTCACGCCTGTCTTCTGTGTGGTCGTGGTATTACACCGGGCGTGCCGGCCTATAGGTGCTAAGATGTTAAAGCGGGCACTACCACTGTAAAACTTTTGATACTTTTGATTTTTTAATTTCATGAGGACTAAGTTACAAAATTTAGTCTATATCCATACTAATATTATAAGGAGCAAAGATTTATATTATTTTATTTATTGAAATAGCTCAAAAAGTATACTGAACCAATTTCAAAAATTCTATCACCATTAGAAAGGTAACTTATCTGTGATGACATAAGCAATGTCTTTTATTTTTTTTTTATTTCACGGGGACGGAGTTGCGAGCAACAGCTGGTATAGAATAAATAGATACAGTAAGAATGAAACTATCATTGTACACAAGTTAGAGTAGGCTCCGAGTTCCTTGGTTAAATGGTATATTTTAAAATTGATAAATGAAATTAATACCTTTCACTGCGTACATCAGGAAGACTTCTATTAATAAAAATTCTATCACCAACTAATATATTATAAGAATGTAATGTATAAAGTTCTCTTGCTGTTATAATTTCTCTTGGTGAAAGCTGAACTGGTCTCCCACCTTCACCAGCTCCTTGGATGGGAGCATAGTTGTTAGCATTTACTATTTCTGGAAGATAGAAAAGATAATTAAGTCTGACTTTCAATTACTGATATAAAATATCACCAGCCTGTCAATTTACCACTAGACATAAAGTATGCAGTTAAAACTATGAAAAACTAGTTGTTGCTCTCTACTTTGCCCGCATGAAATTTAAAAAATAATAAACGAATATTGCCTGATAGCTTTTTAATGGTGAAAGATTTTAATAATCGGCCCAGTAGTTTTTGAGTTATATCAATACATACAAAATGCAAATCTTTGCTATTTATAATATTAGTATAGATATTATGGATATTGTATTCTCAGTTATCTCCAAAAATGAAAATGATGAGATTATGTTTTTGGACAAGTGTTTGTAGTCATGTACTCAATTAAAATTGATGACCTACAGATCCACTTACAATTCACATGTGTGAAACTGATCTATGAAACATTTGGTGCCTCAATTTAAACTTTTTACCTAGATAGAGTTATGATTTGCATAGCTACAAACTGAGAGTCACCAAAGAGGTTGCAGGTACTGCTTACATAGTATATTGTAATGAGCCATGAGTTGGCAATTTAGTTGTTCAGCCACAGCTCAACATAAATTATTTGTGGTCTTTTTAGCTGGTTACGAGCTTTATTGTTTTTGCAAACACACAGAGTTTAATATTACAAGACAAAAGTGTAACTACATAAAAGTAGAGTTTACCTTGTGATAAGTTACCTCCAGAATTACCGCCAACATAGTGTCCCACTATCACCCTCATACCACTATTGTCCACGTATGAATTCTGGTCATAGTGTAACCTGAAAAAGTAGTTTTACATTTTTCTTAATCAATATCAGCGAAACAAAGTGGTTTCATTTATCAGCATACATACCTTTTATACCATGGACTTTTTTGCCGTCTTTTAATAGTATTGTATAGTTCAAAGCTAACGAATATCATAGCGTTTATGAGAAATATTAAAATAAATACAAGAATAGCAATCTTCTTTCTTCGGCCTCTACATATTAAAGACCTTAATTCCTGAAATGTTAAATTAAAATAAAATATAACGTATGCGACAAAGTCTGTAAGCTTACAATTTGTATTTTATTTACCATGGCTAAGTTAAGTAATAATAAATGAAAGTTTTGACAATTGGACATGCACCAAACAAAATGTTATAGACAGAACCAGACAAAACATGTATTTGTAAACTTATGTCCTAAATATCAAAGTTCGTAAATATCATGTATTAAAATTACACATATTCATATTCGCATAAAATTGTATGTTTTAAATTATAAATTAACTTTACTGTTTCAGTTCAACAACGATGACATATTGTGTCAACTGTCAACCACAGTGTCAATGTCAAAACTCATTTGAGTTGTCATTTAATTATAAAAACTATAGTGTGTCTAAATCATGGAGGTAGTAATATAACAGGAGTGTGTTCTATCTTTACCTCTTGCAGTTAAAATAAAGAATATAAAATTTTATGCTTAGGGCGTAAGAGTCTTGTTGCACGCAAAATGAAATTGAAACGAGTGAGAGGGCTACATGTGGCTACTATTTCCCTTTCTAACATTGACTTAGAGTTGCCAGATATCATCATTTCGTTGTTTGTAGAAAAATAGGCAATTGGTGTAATGTAAGGCAGAAAAAATATTTACTTTCAAAATGTTTCTAGATATTAATAATAATTTATTACCGACATGTTAAAGCAAAGTTATTTGTTGCTACATGTAAAACTTTATAACCTAAATAATTTACGATTGGCGTACAGGTTTACTTTTACATTTCTTTATTTTTAAATTGGAACATCTGAACTGACAACACCGCTTGACATCCCCGAATCGTATCAATGGCGATGTTTTTAAATCCGTAGTATTTTAAAAAATTCCTCGTTAAAATGGTGAGAACTTATGGCGTGGAGGCTTGCGGAAGCGAGTTTTATCCTGATTGTGGTTTATTTTTTCACATGTAATAGTTTTAAACATAATTAAAAAATAACACAACAAAATGATGAAACTCTTATGAAGACATAAACGTTTCTGTAAAACTATTCTTAAAAAGGCTAAAGCGAGCTATGAAAGAGAACTTTTAAGAGAGGCTAGTCAAGCTAAAGATATGAAAAAAAACATGGAAGGAAGCCCGAGACACTCCTTGCCATATCTTTTATAAAGCTACCCCCCCCCCCACTATTCCTTCCGTTTCCTAATATTTTCCTAATAATGTTGTTGTTTTAAATAAAGATAAATGTATTGATAAATAGCACAAATTAACAAATAACTTTTAAGAATACAGAATACATCAAAAATGGTTATAAAGCTAACACAACATTTAAATCTACTTTTTTGTACTATCTGAACTTTTTTATATCTGAAACCCAAACTGACTGACACTATCGCTGACAGCTGAACACCGGGCTTGGATGACACTGATTGAAATAAAATCAATAATCAAAATCAAATATGAAATCGATATCGCAATATATTGAAAATTAAATATGGTTTGCGGAGACCAGCTTTAGGATTGACTACATCTATATTTGATTTGTGAATATTACCAGCCTATAAACTTATCATAAGATTATCCTGATTCAACGATGCAAATCACTTTAATTCTTTAATTTAGAGTGACTTGTATGAAAAATGTCTCGAAACAATTGGAATAAACATGATCAAAGCTGGAAGATTGACAAAAGCCAAAGACCTCCTGGTCTAAAGGGAAGAGAAATCGGACTTTATTATAAAAACCTTAAGAAAGGGAAAAAGGAAGCTAAGAAGAAAAGTAAAAATATTGTTAGTACAGTTTTATTTAAAAAAAAAATATTAGGTACTCTAGGTTTCAAACGGTCCTTGTGTTTTAAAACATATCACAAATAACAATCAAAAACAGGGTGTTGTTTTCCCTTTGTCTGTTTAAAAATGTTAAACTCTATATTTTAGAAGCTTCACTTGACTCTAAAAAGCTAAAATGTCAGTTATAGTATAGAAAATTAGATGTGCTGTTTATTTTTAATATTCAGTAAAGTGGTTTTGCTTGCTTTATGTCCAAGTAAATTCATTTTATTAACTTATGCCCATTTAAAACATTTTCTGATATTGGAAAAAAATTTAATTAGTTTTAACTAAATAATTTTATTTTTTAGCTGTCCCTGACAATACCTCAGCCTGTGGTTACATCAGTTAAGAGCAACTTAAGGCAGATATTATTTATAGCGAAAGAGCAAGATATTAAGCTACCAAATATTGTTACAACTCCATTCTCTCATATTGCTACAAAGGAGATAAAAACAGAAGTACCAGATGATACAGGAGAAGAGAAAAATGATGAATTTAAGCTACCAGATCCAGTTAAAATTAAAACTGAACAAGATTTAGATGCATTTAGCAACAAGCCGAGTACATCATCTCTACCTGATTTTATACCGATCTACAGTGAAGATGATATGGAATTTGAGTGTAATGACAAACAACTATCACTAAGAACTTCAAAATCTTATAAATATGCATATGAAGATATTATAACAGGAACATTTGATGATAAGCTTACAGAGAGTTTATCAAAGGGTATAACAATAAATTTCAATAATGAACATACCAGTAATCTTAATGTGTCCTTTCAAGAAGAATATAAAGAAATGATCACCAAAGAAAAATACAAAACTTTCATGAAATTTCGTGAAACATTACCAACATATAAGAAATCTAAGGAAATACTAGATCTTATTAACAATAACCAAGTTATTGTCATAAGTGGTGAAACTGGCAGCGGAAAATCAACACAGGTACAACATTTAATTTTTTTTAATTTATATATGCATTTTATGTAAATCTTACTTTTTGTTAATGCAAAAGTTTACATGAATAGGTGGATGAATGGTAAAACTCGTAGGCTTTTTATCACGAACAGAGTCACGGATAAAAGCTACTGTTAAAAACGTAAAGTTCTGTTAAATGATGTATTGATTTTAACTAATATTCTTTTAGATACCGCAACTTATTTTAGATGAAGCTATAACAAATGGCAAAGGTGCTAATGTTAAGATAATGGTAACACAGCCGAGGAGAATCGCTGCTTCATCTCTCGCAAATAGAGTTGCTCAGGAAAGGTGTGATGTACTAGGAAATTCTGTAGGGTACTCGGTAAGATTGGAGAGGTTAGTAATATCTTTATAAACCTACATTTTTGTGTTTATAGGCTATTATGCTTATTAGCTTTAAAAAAGGTGGTAATACTGGGGCATTGTTACATCTTAAGTTTTCTGTATAGTTTTAAATTATTGATCTATTTTTTTAATTATTTAATATGTATATGTTTTTTTTAATTTTATGTTTATAATTTATGTAACATTTAGGTGTTGGAACTACATAGTGTGAGAAGGATATAAAATATTTCAGAGTAGAAGAGAGACCTCGTGGCAGTATCCAGTACTGTACCACAGGTGTGCTGCTGGTGGAACTAGAAGTACATCAGGGTCTGACCAATTGGAGCCATATTGTTCTAGATGAAGTCCATGAAAGGGACTGTCATGTGGATATATCTATGTGCATGTTGAAACAGGTAACCTGGCATTATTATTTAAATACTAAATGGAAATTTAAACTTTGCATCATAAGCACCTTGTATAATCTCTCTCTCTCTCTCCCCCCCTCTCTCTCCCCCCCCCTCTCTCTCTCTATTTCTCTTAATGAAAAGTGGGCCCTAACGTTATTTCGATCATTTCGCCATCGTCAAGGTTGAATATAATTAAAACTAGATACACGGAATCCAATATTACAATCTGACAGATGTTTACTTTTAAATGTCTGTTCAGTATTTGGCTGTAATTCTCTTTAAGTATTAATGATTGATACCCAATAATTATTAATTTATGTTGCTGTAGGCAAAAGGTAAGAAATGTGAGTGCTTTTTAAATAAAACCAGTAAAAAAACACCAAATGCAAAATATCTCAAAATAATCTCAACTTAAAACATCTAAACTTGACCTTATGTTTATTTCAGGTTTTAAAAAGACGCCAAGATTTGAAACTGATTCTAATGAGTGCTACTTTAGATGCTGACACTTTATCTCAATATTTTGACAACTGTCCAATGATGAAAATAGAGGGGATAGCTTACCCTGTTGAAGATGTGTATTTGGAAGATATTTTAGACATGACAAAGTATAAACTTCCAGAAAAACCGAATAAACACAGGAACCAACCAAAGTATAAGCGATATTTAAAATCACATAAACAATCAGATGAAATGGAAAAGGATATAAAATATAAAGCGGAAATTAGTATGTATTAGTGTTCTCTAAATATCATATTTCATACTAATATTATAAATGAGAAAGTTTAGATGTATGGATGAATGTTTGCTATAGATGTAGGGAATAGTCTGGAAGAACACATCTAATCTCTTTAGTTTTTTTTTTTAATTTCACGCGGACGGAGTCGCTCGCGTAAGCCAGTATTATAAGTTTTTTATTTTATAAGGTAAAAAATGAGCAAACGACCACTATAATGCGCTAAAATAGAAAAGCAACCGCTGCTAGAGATTCTCTTACATGTTTGCACACATGTTGCGTACCTTTAAAAGACAGAGTGGGGATGCACAGAAAAAGGATATTGGGTATGAACCTCCTACCCATTATTTCTTTTATGAAAAGGGAAAGAGTTTTTAGAAAGATGAAGAGGAGTTTTAGGCCTTAAATTAATTACTACTAGAAATAAAATACGAAGTACATGCACTAAATTTAAAAATAACTGCCACTAAAAATGAAATAAAACAGCTTGATAAATGTTAATTTGTTTTGTTCCAGTGAATTGGTTAGAATCAAAGAAGAGTGTGCTCGATTACGATGTTTACAAAACACTACAGGACTCGAGGATAGAAGAATTAGATTTGAATCTAGTGTTGGAACTTCTCAAGTATATCTGCAGGAAGGGTCCCGGAGCTGTGCTAATATTCCTAACTGGAATTGGAGATATATCTAAATTCCTAAGATTGATGAATGAAAGTAATCAATTCCCAAAGGAACGTTATGAAATATACCCTCTACATTCAAAACTACCTTCACTGGATCAACATAAGATATTTGAGCGACCACCAGATAGTGTTCGGAAAATAATTGTGGCAACAAACATAGCTGAAACATCAATAACTATAGATGATATTGTATATGTGATTGATGGTGGAAGAATTAAACTGAATGGTTTTGATGTTGAAGATAAAATATCGACGCTCCAGTTTGAATGGGTTTCGCAAGCTAATTTGCGACAAAGGTATTTTTTAATAATTATTTTAACGCTTATTACTTTAAGTAGAGAGATAACCTTAAAAATTCTTTTTAATTTGTGATTTAAATGGATGAAGATGGAATAGTGATTATTGTTTAAATTATACCAGTTGAATGCTGATTCTACTGTCAAACTGTACTGACCAAGTGTGAACCAGGCATTAGCTACGTTTACTATAATGTTATATAGTAAAAGTAGCAAATAACATTATTATTACTATACTAGATTACGCCCGACACTCCGTCCGCGCGAAATTAAAAAAACTTAGTAAGTAGCCTAACTTCTTCATCATCATGATCCAATTGCCCTTATCCCTTACGGAGGGTTGGAACAGTATGTGCTGCTCTTCCTTACATCTCTATCAGACGTCATATCTGAATCCTCTACTACATGACTATCTTCTACATCTATGCCACATTGCTTTGGGATCCTTTCAACAGTGTAGGCTACAAACTTTAACTAACATCCATCCAAACTTTTGCATTTAGTGGTATTAGTAACATTGAACAATTTTAGAGTGATACCTAGGGAGGTTGTAGCCCCACAACATAAATTGCTTGATTCAAACATAATAATAAGGCACCAAGTATGAATTTAAATGCCCGCAGTTTACAATTTAATGGCATATGCTTGAGAGGGAAAACAGAGAAGTTGCAGGGACAAGTTTCGAGAGGGATTGGTAGATAAAATGATTAATATGGGTGTTGATATGATCATACTAATATTATAAATGCGAAAGTTTAGATGGATGGATGGATGGATGTTAGAGTTTGTAGCCTAAACGGCTGAACGGATGTCGATTAAATTTGGTATAGACATAGAGGGTAGTAAGAAAGAACACATAGGCTACTCACTTTTATTTTCTTTAATTCTACGCGGACGTAGTCGTGGGGAAAAGCTTGTTTTACAACAATCCAACGCCACTAGTTATTAGTAAGATTACTTGAATCAGACGAGGTCGCGCGGGCCGCTGCCAGCCGGGCGTGTGCTACCACATGATGACGTCGTACCGCGCGGGCTCGCTGCCGGAGCGGCTGCTGCCGGAGCTGCAGCGCACCGACCTGCTGGAGGCGGTGCTGTCGGCCAAGCGGCTGCGGCTGGGCCGCGCGGCCGACGCCTTCGCCCTCATGCCCTCGCCGCCCGCACACGCCACTGTACAGTGGGCTGTCAACCATTTGCAACAGTATGTTTTGTATCAGTTATCTGTATTTGATGGACGTTTTTCTTCAGCAGTACGCACTGTTGAATTTATCTTTACCAATATTGTACAGAGAAAAGATTTGTGTTTTTGAATTTTCGTATGTATTGAAATAACTAAAAAATTAATGGACCAATTTAAAATTTGTTCATCATTAAAAAACTAATTTATCGTTTAGTAACATAGCCTATAATTTTGCGTGAACAAAGTCGAGAGCAACAGCTTGTAATTAATCTATATGTATTCTACTAACTGTCTGCGACTCTGCTGCGTGAAATTAAAAAACCTAGCTTACACTGCTATCCTGCATCTCTCCGTCATATCTGAATTCGTTCCCTTTAAGCATCTCTTCCACATCCATCCTTTGTTCAGTCTTGTATTTGTGGTGAGGCTACGAGTGTTGCAGATGCGGCGCGCTGGACGCGCAGGAGCGCCTGACGCCGCTGGGCTGGCACGTGGCGCGGCTGCCGCTGCACCCCGCCGCCGGCAAGCTGCTGCTGCTCGCCGCGCTCTTCGGCTGCCTCGACCGCGCTGCCAGCCTCGCCGCGGTCTGGAGCTTCAAGGATCCATTCCAGCTAGTCATTGGTAACAACCTATTTACCTCCTATAAATGTGGATGGATACCGGTAAAGGTAGGCTTAGAAAGAGATGGATGGATTGCGTGTAAATGACAGATGAAGAAGGTAGTGTTGACTAAAATGACGGATGATATAGTTATTCGGAGGATAAAAACGCGGTGCGCCGACATGACGGGATAGGATAAAATAGGGGAGATGATGATGTTGACCTCCTCTTCCTACACATTTCACCACCTCCTCTAGCATATTTTTTTAAATGATGTATATTATCTGGAAGATGAAAACCCTACGGGAGGGGATGATTTTTTATACATTGTCTTCTTTATTATTTGTTTACTATTTCTTGTATCATTGTAACTTAGCTTAAGTCTTCTAAAATATCGTTTACGATAATGGAATGCGGAATCGAACCCTCGACCACGTGATAATATATCCGTACCCATAACAATTACGCTATTGGCGTCATTATGGCGTAAATATGTCTATTAAATTGCGATTTTATTGTCTTATGTTTAATTACTTTATTTCATGTTTTTTTTTTTGTAATTCCTAATAGTCTTGTAGTGTTGTCAAGGGAATCTTGTTTTATTTTATTTAGGCAAAGAAGCGGAAGTGGATGAGGTAAAACGTAGCTTCACGTTGGGTGAGCCGAGCGACCATGTTGCGATATCAGAGGCTGTATTACAATGGGAACGCTGCCGGTCGCGGCAACATAAACATTCTTTCGCATACTCCAATTTCTTATCGAACAATACACTGGAATTGTTAGCTGATATGAAGAAGCAGTTGGGCAATAATCTGAAGCAGATGGGATTCCTTGCTTCTGGTGATGTAAAATCTCGATATGAGAACAGAAACGCTAATAATATGAGCTTGTTTAAAACTATCGTTGCTGCAGCGCTTTATCCTAATATAGCTACAGTTAGGTAAGTGTTTAAATATATTTTTACGTAAAATAAAAATGTTAACAGCAATACACGACTTTTGTATCGCTTGATCAAAAAAGTATGATAATCTTAAAATCACCGAAATATAAATAATTTGCATTTATCATCTGTAACCAATGGAGAAAATGTAATTACTCCATTCCTATACCTATTTTCTGCTCTACATACTATCTTATCTATCTATCTAATATTGTAAAGAGAAAAGATTTGTATTTTTGTATGTATTATAATAACTCAAAAATTACTGGTTCGATTTTAAAAATCTCAACGTTGGAAAGGTAATTTATCTGTGGGCAACATAGTTTTTATTATTTCTTTTATTTCACACGAAGTCGCGAGCAACAGCTATTTATAAAACAGTTATATTTTATCACTTTAAGTACCCATTAAAATGTTATAATAATTTTTAGATGGACCAATATTAATTCACGTATTCGACCCGCACGAATTAAAGTATATACTCCTGAAGAAGGTAACATAGCTCTGCATCCCAGTAGTGTTATGGCGTCGTCGAAAAACCCAAGGTCCAGCAATAGACCGCTGTGCAACAAGCCAGGAGCTAACTGGCTTGTCTACTGGCTTAAACAGCGCTCCACCTCACGCTTTCTTCTAGAAGTTACATTAATATATACTCTACCTCTTCTATTCTTCGGCGAGTTTGTAGTCAGCGATGGTAAGATTTATTAATTTTTATAGCTCTTGCTCTTTTAACTTTTTTGTAACCAAAAACATATGTTGCCATATTTCATAGACTCCCGATTGCACCGATTTTCATATAGTGAGTGTATCCACACTATACCTTTTACATTTTTTTTTTTATCTGTATTCATACTACTTCGATTAATGCAGTATTACTATTTTAGTTGAAGAAAAAAAACCAGACGAATGTTGTTTTTCAATAAAGTCAGTCATAGTAAAGGTGAAAAACGAATCCGCCGATATTCTGCACAAATTGAGGTCGTTACTAGACTTAGTGTTAGCTCGCAAAGTTACAACAGACCAGTCTTCATATCACAGTAGATTCGAAGAGGAAGTAATTAAGTGAGTATTTATGTTTTAATAATGTTTATTGTAGGCTCATATTAACCCTTAAAAGCCCTAAGGCCTTACTTTCTCAGTTAAGTAATTTTTTCAGTAGAATGTATTTTTTTTATTTTAGTGCTGTCATCGATCTTATAACAGCAGAAGATGAAGGTGTCGAGTATATGGATGCCGATAATTCGGAGTCTGACTCCGAAGACTCGTTTAGAAGTAGAAGATACTAAATACATTTTTTTTTATTTGTATTTTCTTTTTTTTTGTTATTTTTTACAGTTGCCAGAATTTAGTTTACCAGTTTATTTAGATTAAAAAAAGCTAAAGCTTGCTTTTATATAGATTTTTTAAATATAGTTCTACATTTATATTTAATTCCCTTTGGTTTCTGTTATTTTTTAATACAGCAACACTTTTAGTTGTCACTTGTCAAGCGTTTTATCGAGATTTTGAAATGTAAATATTGAAAACAAGTTTTACACTGAATGTTATTATTCAGATAAGCGAACTTTAGATTAATGACATTTTATTATTAGCTTGTAAGAAGTAAAAACGGCAAAATGTTTGCATTACGGGTATGTAAACTCTTTGCATTTTTTAATAAAACATGTTTTTAAACTTTTATGAATCTACTGTATTATTTACTTTACAGAAACAAACATTTACTCCATTAGCTTTAAGAATTCGTAATACACATAATGAATACATAATAACAAATGAAAACAATGGCACTCGAGAGATAATCTTAAACCATGAGAAAACAAAGTTAGTATGTTTCATATTAATAGTTAATATTAATATATGTTTTTAAATTATCTTTATTTATACAGAAACTCATTATCAATAAACATGATGAGCTACTTAATACAAGCTATAAATGCCAATAATGAAGACACATCTTTACGAGCTATTGTACTCTCAGCAAAGGGTAATGTGTTTTCGGCAGGACATAATTTAAAAGAATTAGTAAGTAAATTTATTAAAAACTAACACTTTGATATTTAATAAAATGGAATAAACATATCTTATACCACTCAGTGATTGTGCAGCTTTCTATTATTAAAAAAAAATTAAAATTGATCTAGTAATTTTTGAGCTTATCAATTACAGACAATAATAGAAATCTTTCCTCTTAATAATATTGATAAAGATTAGCTGAACGTTTGTTTATATTTGATCAATATAAAAAATTTCAATTTTCTAAAACTCCAATAAGAAAAGAAAGTGTGTTCTTCAGATTTGTTCACATAATAAAACTGTAAAATAGTACAATTAATTTATTTTTTACAGCAAATTACTGATGGGAAAGAACAGCATAAACTTGTTTTCAAGAAAGCTGTAGAACTGATGAATTCAATAATAGATAGTCCTGTTCCAATAATAGCTAAGGTTTTTATCTATTTTTTTTAATCTAACCTTTATAGTAGAAATACATCAGTGCTTTTTTTTTAATTCTCATACATTTTATAGGTAAATGGTTTTGCAACTGCTGCAGGATGTCAATTGGTTGCATCATGTGATATGATTGTGTGTTCAAACACAAGCAAATTTTCTACACCCGGGTAATGCAGTTTCCTTATTCTTGGAGTAAGCAGTTGAATACTTTTTTTTATGTTTATTACATTACAGGGCTAATTTTGGAATATTCTGCTCGACTCCAGGGATACCATTAGCGAGATCAGTGCCAAAATCTAGATCAATGTATATGTTGCTAACAGGTATTTATTGCAATAAGTAACCTTCCAGATTTATTAGTCTTTTTTTTTCTAATTTTATTATTCATAACAACCTTCTGACATCAACTGGAACAAAAAAGAATCAGCGATTTTGTCTGAAGTTTTATTATTATTTTACCTATCTCAATATTATTAATATGCTTTATTACAGGTCAACCCATTAATGCTAAAGAAGCTTATGAGAGTGGTCTTGTTACCAAAGTAGTGGCTCCCGAAGACCTGGATAAAGAAGTGACAAAAATAATTGATCAGATAAAACAGAAAAGTCGCTCAGTAGTTACTTTGGGAAGATATTTCTTCTATAGACAAATAAACTTGAACATCTTTGATGCATATAAATTAGGCCAAGAAATAATGGTAAATAATACTGAAATGGATGATGGACAAGAGGGTATTAGGAGTTTTGTAGAAAAACGTAAGGCTCAATGGACACATAAATAATGAATCATATACATTTTTATATTAATGTAAACTTGTGCCAGCAGCACTGAAAATGTTAACATCGCTGTAGTTTTTGAGACTACCCTCATATTTCCTCTGTTTGAGGTATACAACATAACAATGATCACTGTCATAAACATATAAAAAAAATCATACTCTTATAGCATTGAAATAAAACAATTTTTATTTACACCTAGCGTTTTATTTACCACTTTAATGCATCTCCAATATATGGAACAGGAGTTTTACAAGCAGAATTCGCATAATCACAATTACAATACCAATAAATTATTAAATTTTTGGCCGAAAGGACATTTGACAATATATACATCCATTTTTAATAAATATATGTGGAAACCTTAACATGTAGTGTTTTATTGTGCATATTGATATTTCAGTTAATCATAAAAAAAAGCAATCAAAATTAAAGTAAAGAATATAAAATATGTATTCAAAGTCGTCTATTGTCTACTAAAATCTGTTATTAAATATAAGATAGTGCTATAAAATATACCCCAAAAATGTAGTTATAAATTACGAAAACTACAACACGGCAGATATAAGCATTGGATAAGAGACAAGATAAGAGAATATGACACAAAACTAATAAACAATATATGCAATATATCAAACAACCAGAAACTTACAATGATAAAGCAATTATTGGTGTAACACTATTATTTGAAAAGTGCATAAAACTATTAAATCAAATTAAAAACGAAATAAAAGAACTATTTAAATACACTATGAACTAAAAAGTCCCATGAATGTTTGTCAATGGCCTGCAAATTTTCTGTTGTAAACATTCATCACACTTAGAATTAAATTACTAAAAATTAATCAAAACTTGAAACCACTAAAATAAGAAACATTACTTGAAAATTACACATAAATAAAATGTGGGCCTTTTTCCACATGCCAACAATTATTAAAGACATGTACATTTTAGAATTATCAAATGATAAGGTAAACAAGGAAAGCCTTTTAATGTTGAACAGATAAATAAAAACAATTAGATACTATATTTAAGTTTATATATTGGTTTTCAGGAAATCCATTGACATACATAACATTATATTTTAAATTTCAAAAGATTATAGTTTCTTGATTACATTTAAGACATTTGCATTATCAGGATGAGAATATATGTATCAAATGCAAGTATATAGTTAACAATTCTGTGGAAAAAGACCATTAAATATATAAATGTTATATAATTAGATATAGTAGTCTTTAGTATCCAGTATTACTGGAACTGCATTTTCATTATGGAAAGGATTCAGTCATTTTGGGAATGTCACTTGATCCCACGACTGCTTAAGAAGATGTTTCACTTCTTTGCTAGCTCATTGGAGAGCCAGTCTAATCCCTCGTAGAGACCTTGACCTTGTGTTGCACAAGTTGCTTGGATATACCACTGGAATGGTACAAGTGTTATTAGTCATTGTCATCTCAACACTAAATTATGCAATATTTCACTGGTATACTTACACGGCGGTTTCTAAGGTTGTTTAAATTAAGAGCATTTGTTAATTCAGCTGCTGTCATCGCATTAGGCATATCTTGTTTATTAGCAAAGACCAAGATAACGGCATCTTTCAATTCATCTTCTTTAAGCTAAAATGTAAATGTGTTGTGAATTAAAAAAAAGTACATGAAATACTAAGAACAACTGTATGAAACTAGACAAACCATGTTAGCCAGTTCATTTTCAGCCTCCACAATTCTCTTTGTATCACTTGAATCAACAACAAATATAAGTCCTTGTGTGTTTTGGTAGTAATGACGCCAGAGAGGCCTAATTTTATCTTGACCACCGACATCCCAAACCGTGAAACTGATGTTTTTGTATTCCACTGTTTCAACGTTAAATCCAATAGTTGGAATAGTAGTGACAATCTCACCAAGTTTTAACTTGTAAAGAATTGTAGTTTTACCGGCGGCATCTAAGCCAACTGCAAATTAAAACATGTATTTGATTTTAGTTTAATATCAAAGCAAAACATGGAATTTATAAAAACAGCAACGTAGTTCTAATGCGATGAGCTGTCACTGGACTCACCCATTAAAATACGCATTTGTTTCTTGCCGAAAAGTCTTGTGAAAACACTCGATATTGTCAGTCCCATTTTACTATATTAACACTAGTGACCTATAGAAATAAATAATAAACACAATGGCTTCTTCTACAATTTCTAAGACTCCTTATTTTGAAATGAAAATAGAATTCCTTTTATAGGACCTTATATTTAACAAAAAGATGTGATGATCTGTATATCAGAATGTATTCAATGTTACGTCAACCAGCTCAACGCGGCTCTAGGGTTGTCATTGGAAGAGCTGGTAATACCGGTTTTTATAATCTGTGAAGTATTAATTGCAATACATTGACATTTTCCTATTGGTATTTTAGTGGTAATAATAATTTTACAATATTCTATCTGGTACTTTTCAAAATAAAAATGTGGTAGGCAAAAGTGGAACTAAAAGAACCATTACATTATGTTTATTAACTGTGTGTCATTCCTTAATTGTATGTGGTCATAAACAATGTTTAATGACAAAATTACCTGCCGCGATATCAACATTATCACCAGTTCAGATTAAGTGAATCTTGTAAGAATATGAATATTTTTAAGAGTTCCGTCAACGGATCCAGATCCAACAATATACATGTTACAAAGTACGTAATATGTAATAAACTTGCTTTTCTGTAATATTACACTCAAGAGTTCAATTTCTCTTTTTAAATTATCTTTTAGACTATTTTAGGAGTTTGCTATATTTTAGGTTTACGGTTGAAGTACAGATAACAATAAATATAATTACCATTCAAAACCAAAAATACACATCACTATTGAAAATCTCAGATTAAATAATTTACGGTTTTCCGTGAGCTTTGTCTAATGTTACGGAAATTAAAGGTAGAAAATAAAAAGACCAACATTTATCCCATATTAGTAGGAAAATAACATCTATAAAATAAAGTCTCAAATAATATTAAACTAATTTTTATTTTTTGCTTACTTTGTATGTCTACCGAAGGCAGAAGGCAGTATCAAGTCACAGATTAAGTTATAACAAGTTGTTATTAGGAATGAACTGCTGAGAACCTGTCATGCGTCGTCATAGAAACGTTTTCGAAAACTTTTGATTTTGTGGCTGGTTTCGACATGGAGATTTACGAAGGTATGTAAATATGTTCATAATTTTTAGTATATAAAATGTAATTGCTTAAATAAGTGTCGCATTTAGGCTTTACAGTCATATTAAATTAAAAACAAGTTCAGCGCGAAGGACCTTTTTAGGAACCCTGTTATGATGATTTAGACGTGTTTAGACGTATATTTTTATGACTTTTTTAGTCAATTAAGAGATAGAGATTTTACGAGCTAAGAATCATTTTTTTATATAATGTAAAGGTATCGCAGATGGAAACCTCAGGTCTTAGTAACATAACTTCGTACTCCGAATATTTTATTTTATAGTAAAATACAAATATCATTAAAAAAATCAAAATAAAGGATTCACATTTTTTTTATCTTTAAAACTTAACATTACTGTAAAATATTTTTATGTAGGATTTTATTGTAAAAAAATTCCAAAATTTATTGTACATTAAAAAAAATGTTCTAATAGCAATAATATAGGCGTGTTAACCAATAGTTTACACTCTCAAGTTTATGAACATATTCTGATATACAACTAGCCAGTATCCGTTTTTTCGGCAATTTACATTTATTCCTTACAGGACACGAAAAGATCGCAACAGATTCCTTAATTCCTCTGCTGGCCGAAATTGTCGTTTTGCAATGTCTTAAAGAACGGCTACATCTCTAGCTAGACGTCGGGACTTTTCGTCTTGTCTAAAATAGTTCATAGTAGTAATTCTTCGCACTTTATTACTATAAGAATTTAAATTCCTATGGTCCACTTTTGCCAGTTAAATTAAAAGCCAAGAAAAGCCCTATCATATCCGAAAAAGCAACTACGCTCTACACTGAATAGCGTTATATTCATATCAAAAACAAAAACCAAAACTAAAAGACATTATACATGATCATCCTTGGCAAGGAGCTGTTGAAAGCTTAAATATAAGTTCATCTTAATTAACAGACTAATGGACTATATTTATTAGTAAGTCAGCAAGTTATTATCAGCCAACATGGTTTCTACACGCAATAAATATGCATTGACGCGCTATAAACCGAATTACGTCATAGGCCGGTCCCTACTTTATGTTTAAGGCATGCGAAAGTACATTCATATGACACATAGATAAAACATGGTATCGACAATATTTGTATGCTAGCGTAATTATAACAAGGTTAAGAGCTTCTATGAAACAATTTTACCCATAGTACACACTTAGAAGTCAATATAACCAGTAACTTTTCTTTTGTATGGTATACGCCCTTGGATTTGAAGGACGTTCTTAGAGTATTACGACTTACGCCGCAATAGCCTTCTCTTGCATTGAATTTTTCAATTATTTCGGGGTCACGTATCAAAGTTCATAAACTCTTGAAGTTAAGCCTTAAAACTTTATTTAAAAAAATGTTATTTTATCGATAACATATTCTGTATGATATGCTATAAGGATATATGTTTGAAAGCCAGGGATACCGGGATAACCGATTTCTTATCACAGTCCTGAGTCTCCGCTCCTCACTTGTTTCTCATAATCGCTTTTCTTTCGTATTACACCATCTATGTAAGTTCATATTTAACGTTGTAAATCATACTGCATACTAATATTATAAATGCGAAAGTTTAGATGGATGTTTGTTAGAGTTTGTAGGTTAAACGGCATAACGGATTTCCATGAAATTCGATATAGATGTAGAGAATAGCCTGGAAGAACACATAGGTTACTCGCCTTTGTTTTTTTAATTTAACGCGAACGGAGTCGCGGGCGAAAGCTATTATCTTTCATAATGGTGAAACGTAATAAAGTTAAACGTGGAACACTGTTTACATTCCACGTTGTCGTTTTCTTGTAGGTTCATTTTTGTTGCACAATATTACAAATGTCTTGCGAAGCTCACGTTATTCTCTTGACTCAGCTACAGAGCTTTATTCAGTGTTATTGCAATATAGTTCTTACTTGAATTGAAATGGTAGTAATATCAAATGATTTTTTATCGGAAACGTTAAAAACTTTTTTAATAAGTTTATCAGCAATACCATGTTTTTGTCTAAAAACTGTTATGTAGAGTAAAAAATGTACAGTAAAATATTTTTAAATTACTAAAAAATATAGTGTGTTATATTACGTTAATCTTATATTTTATGCTGTAATTCTTGTGAAACTAATTAAATTAACAGCGTTATAACAGTTAATTAACTTGAAACTTAATTGTCTATTGTTAATAATATTATTTACTAGTTGTAGCCCGTAAATCTGTTCGCGCGGAGTTAAAAAGAAATTTAATTAACGTCCTGTTATTCCCTATTCCACATTTCATCGAGATCAGTATATTTGTTTTGAGTGTAACTATAATATGCATCATTCACATTTATAATATTAGTAAGATACAAGCATAAACCATATTTTTCTTATCAAGAAAGTTAACCACAATATAAAATACGTATTTAAAACATTTTAGTATGTGGTAAAAGTGATATCATGCGGACATTTTATTAGGCAATAAGCGCGGTTTCATAGGAAAGTTTCTCTTTAATAAATCATCTAATGCAATTTCTAACCTTACTTTTTGTACCTGTTTTTTTAAAACGTATTACCAAGCGAGTAATAAGAATGGTCTTGTCATCGCTCCATCATAATACCTGTCTGGAGATAATGATCGCTTACTAAATTTAAATATAATCGACACTATTAAGGATATATGTTGTCATGTAGCCATAAGCAGAAACATTTACGTTACGAGTTTAGATCTATGTAATTTTGATACTAATATTTAGAGGTTTTCATAAACGATGGGTAACATTGAATTATTACAAATCCGAGTCAGATATTACTTGTTAATAATTCAAATTCATTTATTAAACTTAAGTCCAGTCTAAAGAACAATTGTAGGCTTAGTAACTGACAGAATTTCCTTTGCTCTACATAAATAAATTATACACCTTACGTTTTTGTCCGAATTGTATTATTCCCAGATCTTACTGATCAAAGATGTTAATAAAATCCTTTGTTTATCGATCTTGTTTCGTGAAAAAAAGCATTACGTAAATTGTTATCGATGTTATGTTAATCAGACTCTACAATAATTATTCTTCCTTACTACATCAGTGAAAGCGTGATAGATGTTTTATTACTTCATTACAAACACGGAGTGTCATGTAAATCATTTGTAATTTGTATTGTATTGTGTAAAGCGTCAGTGGCTTAGGGTTTTGAGCACTTGACTTCTTATCCACGGGTGTTGAGTTCGAACCCCGCCATGTACTATTATGAATTTCGATTTTTCGAATTTCATATGTGCATAATTTACCCGATGATCTTACGTTGAAAACAACGTGATGCCTGCACATATAAGAAATTCAAAGGTATGTGATGTCAACTAAGCCGCACTGGGCCAGCGTGGTTGACTATGGACTAGTCACTCTTATTACGGTAGGCTCCGAGCCCCTCAGTGGGAACGTATACTGAGCTAGTGATGTTGATTGTATCGGTAGTCGACCTATCGTCGTAGATTAAAAAAATCGATTTAAATTGTCACAGTCGTCGTTCAGTATTCGATTGATAAGGTTATACGATTATATAAAGAGCGGGCTCCACTTTTGACTAAACAGTCGCATAAATGTTGTGCGATTGTCGATTGTTTTGCAGCTCATTCAACCGTTTAGTTATACGACTGAAAATCGAGTAGTGTGCGCTTATTTAAAGTCAAAGGAATTAAAGCGAGACTAAACAGTTGTGCGATAATTTAGTGAAATGTGTGCGGGCGCTCTAATATTTAAAAAAATTATTAAAGTGCATTAGCCGTATAACTACCATGTGATCATGTGTGGGATTCAATATCGCCCACTTCTGTATCTCGATATTATATGTGAAGACCATTATGTCGTCTATATTTATTGTAACAATTAGAATATCGCAGCTCATGTTTATTTGATTTGTGCGCACTTTGCTCGTGACATCCTTACTTATTACAGAAACCAATTAATGGTTCTATTTATAACAAGCTTCGTTCGACGTAACTTGAGTTTTTTTGTTATAGTTAAAAAAAAGTATTTTGATTGTAGAGTTATCATCGTCCTAACATTTACTCTTATAGAGTAAATTAAATCTCCATCCAATAATGTTTTGTAGCGCGTTGGTTTTTTTTCAAATTTCAATAC